TGATTGCCAGAATAATTCTTGGGAGCAAGTTGGAACAACGGCACTTAGATTTATGCCCCATGAATCCAACGTAGTCTTCTAGGACGCTTGTTAGGACGTGGACGACGGTTCTCTGGAGGCACGTTGTCTGTAATGCACCACTGGCCACATGATTGCGCCGGATCTGATAGATTAGTTAACCATCGAGGTGGCCCATTTCAGGGTCGCCATTTAGGAAGGTGACAAACACCAACTCGATGCAGCCTTTCGAAAAGTTTCCTCTATACATTTTTGTCATGTTTGTTTATATCACCCACTAACCGATCACCTTCGAAAATTGGTAGGGAGCCATCTCTGTGCTGAGCCTTGGTGGCGATCAGCTAGAAGTCGTTCAGAAATGTAAGTAACTAGCCAGTTATATCAGTACCTGCGAAATAGAAGATGAGGTCACGCACAGTATAGTAAAAGGTCGAGGCGCTCTTGCCAATCTCCGCCACCTGTGGCGATGGCGCGACATTACTATAACTGAAAAGCAGAGCTTACAATGCAATCGTGCGTTCAATCCTCCTGTACGGTTACGAGACGAGTCCCATCAGATCATCAGACATAAAGAGGCGAGGTGCGTTCGACCATTGCAGCCTTCGCAGTTTAGCTCATGTCCGGTGGGAATGCAGCGTGAGCAATGTGTGTGTTCCGCGTCTCCTATCTGATGCAGGAAGAGCGAGTGAACCGTGCAGCACCGTTAATGCATATACAACGCTCCGATGGATGGGCCACGCGCTGTGAATGTCAGCACACCGACTCTCGCGACATGCATTGTTTGAGCGACTGGGGTCCGGATGGGAAATGAGGAAGATAGGCTAATCAATGACTTGGTCAAAAGGAATTCGTTATGCACTTTGCATTTGCAAAGCACACAACAGGGATGTCCAAAGTCCGGCCCGGGGGCCGAATGCGGCACACAACAATATTTCGATTGACCCACGGCCTCATCATGAGATAATAAATGCAGGCTTGGACATTTTTCGTACATGTGTAGCCTTAATGTCTGACTGAATATGGCCCGGCAGATTTTTACCCCACAAAATGTGACCCTCCACGCAAAAATAGTTTGGACACCGCACTGGCATACACAACGATGCTACAGGACTGGACCATTATGTCATTTTAACCGCTCGAAGTCGTCAGTCTACTTATTGAGCAGCTAACTTTATGATCCATGGTGAGTGCAGCAACGAGGCGGTTACCGCATGCATTTCTGAAGCTCGTATCGCTTTGGGGAGACGGTGAGATATAGTCCTACTGGTTAAAAACAGGGTTTGCAGCGCTACAGTGCTGCCAGTGTTCCTACTTAGATCATGGACTTCGCTTTTGAGCGCTCAGGACATTTCGACGATGACAAGGGTAGACTACCTATGCCTGCACAGTGTTGTTGTTATCGGATGAGAAAACCGAGTGAATAGCGCGGAAGTCCATCACCTAGTGTTCGGCAGCTAGATCTCAGAGAGCTCGACCATATGTTGCTCATGTCTGGCAGTCGGGTGCCGTGGTATCTGTTGTTTGCGAATGCTACACTTGATTTCGTAAAACTCCAAGGCGATCAGTTGATGATATAAATAAACATAACAAAAATACATGGAGGAAACTACCCGAAAGACGGTCTAGTTGGTGTTTATCGCCTTCCTAAATGGTGGCCATAAGATGGGCCACCTCGGTGGATAAATAATCTATTGGATCCGGCGCAATCATGAGGCCAGTGGTGCATTACAGGCTATGCGCCTTTAGACAGCTATATACGCGACTGTCGTCCATATCCTAACGCGTATTGATGATGACTCGTCTACCAAGAGGATCGGTCAACCAACGCAGTGCCATGCACGAGAGTAGGCTGAAAAGAAACGACAGCAGACTGATACACGATGAATTACTTAGGATATCCTCCGATGTTTTTGTGGATGGCGATGGGAAATAACAGCGGATCAGAGAAGTCACTAGCGAGTTATCAGTCAGTCAACCTTGGCCACTTTATCAACGCTTGAGGAGATAATGTCTGCCATTGTCGGGACAACCGTAGCGCCTGCGCTTTAATGCAACCGAGGCGAGCTAGAGACACTTGGATTGTTGTTTTCTGCGACTAAGTCATAAGGTAGGAGAACCACAGACCTTTCTGATCTTTCAAAAAAGAGAATGCTTGGGCCCAACCGCTCTGACCCATAGCCAATAAAGAGCCTGATAAAAGTGGCTGCGAAATCACTTAGAAAGTGCCACCACATGTAGCGTAACGGATCACGTAACTATGCAAACCATCGCACCACGTTAAGGCTTAGTCTCATCGCGATCTACATTCACGTAAACACAGCGACGAACAAAGAACACTGCCAAGAAATGAAAGGGGTGTCGAGTATCCTTTCGTACTCAAGAGGACTGAGCCGAGATCATGAAGTCGTCTAGTACGATTGCGCATGGATATTTATAGACTATTTGCGAGTCCACTCCACGGGATTACCCTCGTTATTTGCTTTATGTCGTTGGCTCTATTTCCATCGGTTTACGCTTGTTCGCAAAATGCATCCTGTCTAAAATTAGCTCGAGCCGGGTTGCTAACCTGCGTGGATTGTACGATTGGCTCGATCGGTCACTCGTCCATCTGGTCACATGCTCCTTCCCTTAGTCCGGTGCCACAGCAAACCTTGGCTCAAGTGCCTACAATCTATTTGTGGGCTGGCAAACCAAATCGTATCTCACGGATACACGCTCTTTCGCCAGACTGAACTGGTCATGTACATTTGCGATCTGCTGGCGCCTGATTAGCCACCAGCACACTCAGTGGATGTCTGTTCAGTTGGCTGGTTGTCCTCGTAAAGCTCGAGGTGGACGAGCGCCGACCACTCGCTGCCCGGCTGACCAATCCGCTTCCGATGACATGCTTACTTCCCTTCGAGTTAAGCTGCATCCGTTCGGTTTTCCGTGAAATGCTGCGTAGCGTCCGATTGAACATCTGCATACCGGAATCATACCGTTTCCACTCACTCTCGATTTCAGGCACCATCACAACGGAGTTGAAACAACGTTTGCTAGTTCTTGATCGCTGTCAGTTTTTAACAAAAAGGAAGCTGGAAAGCAGCTTCGGCCTGTCTGAGTTGATTGTATTTGAACCACTACCCACTCACAAGTCATCTGTTCACTGCAAACAATCTGAGTTAAAGGGCGAACGCGGGCTCAAAAGGACAGGGCTTGACTGGCGAACTAGGACAACGATCAAGAAGAAGGGGCGTGCGATTCGGCATAATTTTTTAGGGAGTTTCGGCTTTCGATATATCACATTGTGGAAAGTATCCGGGACACTTTGAGGATGTACGAAAGAACTCAGTGTTCTATGGAATGAAGTGCACAATCACTTGGCACACTTCCAATATGCAAACACCGCTAACTCATCAAAATCAGCAGCAACAGAAAGTGAGCAGTCGATAAAATACCTGACACAGCTACTTGTGTCAGTTATTTTCAGAGGAAACGTTAGATAGCATTGGTAAAATCCATTCTGGAAAGACGCCGTCCAAAAGAATAGGTGAAGTGAAGCACAAATAAATGGTACAGTAGCGGCGGCAGCAGGAGTACAGTAATTATTTCCACCAATACTTCACCGCAGTACGATGACAGAGGCCTCTACTAATGGATACCAAGTAGTAAATGGAAAAATGATGTGGGTCAAGGGGGTAGGCGTATGGAAATAAAGCAGTGTCGGTTGGAAATTCCTCTTGCAGCGTTCAATGACTTAAGTCATAATCAACCATACCACGCAAATGACTTAAAGCTGTTATCATGCCTACACAGGCATGCCTCGCAGTGCTGAGAATAAATATTTATTTATTGGTAATCTTTAGGTGAGCAATATAGCTCTGAGATAATAACAAACGCAACAGTAGTGTGAGAAATGTACATCAGTATTTTAAGTGGAGAACGGAGTGGATCCCAATCCAGAAAAGCGAAACGTAACGGTAACACCCAGTGATGTTGGCGCCTTTAGTAACTGCTGATGGCAGCCTCTCTTCGAGCCATACGCTATCCCAGATTCAGTAAAATAGATAGTCTTCTTCGGTAAGCAATGGGCGGTTGCAATTAGGAGCAAATGAAACTGAATTGATTTATGAAACCAACCTAACCATGAACACCCAGAGTTCAGTTCACAGCTTTGGACACGGCGGTGTCATTCTACAAGAGTGCTGTTTCGTAAACGAAGAGTCAAACAACTATGGGCACCTTGGGTTTTTAGACTGGGATCCTAATCTCTGCTGTTGAGAAGAACACCCTCCACCATGCAATGCGTTTAAGTTCTAAATACACCTCTAGTGACAAATGTGCTATCACAATCATCATCATCATCAGCCATTTGAACTGATGCTTCGTTGCCATACAACCATGAGGACCTATGAAATAAGGAATAATAAGAGGGGGAATGAGGACTTACCGGAAAACCTTAATGCACTAAGTAAACATTCAGGGTCAAGGCGCCTACACCTTGTGTAGACAACATACCATCACAAACAGCTGGTTATCGCGCAAAGATAAGGCGGCATCGGCGAGACAGCATGCTTGCGGCTTCCACTGCTCCGCGTCATAATCCGTCATTACCTCGCAGATAACTCTGCACCAGACACACCTTAAACAGGTCGAGCGACTATGAGACGGCAGCAGACGCGCCAATGGTGTCGACTGCGAGCCATGTCATCTAAAATCTCGAGCCAAGCACAAGGCGGGTCACGTGGACTCCAGTCTGGAAGGCGAGACAGACCAACGGCACCGAGTTTGATCCTCAGTGACTTCATTTCCCGATTCCAAGTCAACTTTTGTCCACCTCAGGCCTTGCGCCAGAGAAATGTTTCACACGTACGCACTTTTGGCCTTGGCAAGTCAGTGCTAATGCAGCCGCTAAGCTGGGTGAGCCGAATCGATCACCAGAGCACTTTAAACTGTTTCAATTGATGAAAGAGCATTCAGATGAAGTACAAACACGCACTCACACATAATTCGCGGAAGTTGATCGGATAATTTGGAAAATAGGTCAGCGGCAACTGAAACCAGTTCAAAAGGAAAAATAACTGGTTTCTTGTCCGGATGTTCGAAGTATTGCAACTGCGCATCGATAAAGGAACGCATAAACTGAAAGAAAAGGATGAAACGTTTGGTTCATTGACGTGCGAAACCGTGATCTCGAAACACATAACCCAAGTGACAACGAAGCACCGAGAAATGAGAAATTATGACATTCGCTGGTGCATACAATTGCATCGTTGATTTCCACAAATGTCGAAATCCAAGATATATTCTGCTATTTGGAGTCTGGTTGGCCACAACCCAAACGCGTAAAGATCGCTCAAGAACCCCCACGAGTAATTCACAGTAAACGTTACGGGCACTGCCTAGCGAGGATGATGGATGGGGTTCGACTCGGCCTCAGACAACTCCACTTATGGGGCCAGCTGTGAAGCGCAGTTCTATTAATGATAACAGCAGCTTTGAATGAAAGGATGTGTGCCAGATATTTGAGGAGCAGTCTATAGAGCGATGCCAGAATAACCACATAAAAACTAACACAATATGAAGTGAGGTACCGGTGTACTTCTCCAGAAAGTTTCACCACGTTACATTTTATGGAATAAAGCAATAATATAAACGTTAGAGGTCGCCTTGTTCCACGACCAGTACCGTGATCTTCTGCGCTTATCAGGCAAAAAATAGCAAGGCCGGGATGTCAGCTGAAGCCTCTACTCTTAAGTCATTGCGGTCGCGTCGTAGATCTACCACTGGGTTGGTGATAAAGTTACTGCGGTCTTCTGGTACTTTGTTTTAACAGCTGTGCTTCTGAATATTGTTGAATTAGTTGCTTTGGCCTTGTATATCATTTTGAAGTCTGTTTTGCGCTCTATCCAGCAACAGTGATAGTTTAGCTACGAAACACACTTTTACACCTTTATTGAACATTAATGCAACATGGACAGAAGACGAATTCGCACACTTTTCTTGTACCAATTCAAACTTGGTCGAAATGCAGCGGAAACCACCCATGACATCAACAGCGCATTTGGTGCTGGAACCACTAATAACCGGTGGATTCAAGAACTTCGAATGGGTTATGTGGGGTTTGAAGATGAAGGACGTTGTAGACGACCATCGGAAGTGAAGAACGATTAATTAAGGGTCTTAGTTAGAGCGTATCCATGTAAAACTATTCGAGATTTTGCTGCTTAGTATCCCATGTGACAGGTTAAAACATTTACAGGAGATTGGAATGTCTAAAAAAACTTGATAAGTGGGTGCCGCACGAAGTGAATGAAAATCAAAGAAACCGTCGTCTTGTGTTGACATTTGCCCTTCTTCTGCGCAACAAAAACGACCCGTTTCTCGACCGGATTGTGACGCGATGAAAAATTGAATCTCTTACGACAACCGACGATGAACATCACAATTGTTGGACAACAAGCAAGCTCCGCAACACTTTCCAAAGCCGAAATTGCGCGCAAAAGGGTTATGGTGACTGTTTGGTGGTCTGCGGCCCGTCTGACCCACCATAACTTTCTGAATGCAGGGGAGACCATTACCCTGGAGAAGTATTGTCAACAGATTGTCGAAATATATCGAAAACTTTAACACTTGTCAACAGAAAGATGCCAATTCTTCGCTATGATAACACTCTGCCACAGGTTGCACAAAACAACCAATCCTGCGGAAGATGCATGAGTTGGGCCAGGAAACCTCGCCTCACCCACCATACTCCCCTGACCTTTCAACTACGGAGTACTACTTTTTCAAGCACCTGGATAACATCCTCCGAAAGAAAAGTTTTAAAATTAAAGGATATGCTGAAACTGCCTTGAACGATTTCATTGCTATTAGAACTCCGGAATTTTATTCGTCCGGGATAAATAAACTTGGTTCCCGTTGGGAAAAGTGTGTCGATGCAAATGGTTTTATTTCGAATAGAAATGTTACTTTTGAGCCACTTTAAAGTTTAAGATTGAAAACCCGCAATAACTTTATTACCAAGCTAATACCACTACTTGAGGAGTGCAATCGTGTACGGAGCTGGCTACGAACTGCAGACATTCAAACGGGTAACGCCAAACATCTGTTGCAACAATTGGAATGATGGAGAGTCACTTCCAAGTGAATCGTGGTTGCGAATAAGGATTGTTGTCGTAATCTATTCACAGAACAAGTACTTCAACAAAACCCTTCACTTAGCCAGTCACTAGTGTGATAAACGTTGCCAAGTGGCTTAGGAGTAGAGACTTCGGCTGACATCCTGAAGTACCACGTTCGAGTTACAGCTCTGCTACCTGTACCTGACGAATGCGAACAACTACGGTACCAGTCGTGAACTTCAGTCTTGCAAGACATCCGAACAACGAATGCTCCAAGAAACCTCCAGTGAAGAAATGAGAGAGCTTAGGAAAACGTACAAAACTTGACGGGTGGCATCGAGACTTGAGCTCATATTTGGGTACTAAACCAAAGAGAAGTGCGTGGGGTGATACAACGACCAGCTGTTGCGTGCAACTGAAATATCTCCAAAGTGCAACCATGACAGGCATCGATGAAGTGGATTTAAGCTTTGTAGTGAAACTTAAGGAGGGAAACTGTGGTGCCGTGTTTCAACCGCCAGGAATGCAACCTCGAACCCCAGACTCGTGTTCCCGCTTTCGTATGGCGCTGGGCGCTCCGGTAGTACCCCAGCTCGAATACAATCACCAGGGTCGCAAAGCATCAGTGGAAGTGAATTACTTTTCTGGATAACTGGACGTGGTGGCTATCCCCCAAACCAGAGGAGATTAAGGATCTAGACGGTGCGAAACAACGTGAAAATAGACACAACGACGTAAGAACTCAGGAGTGTATCATATTTCCAGAGATCTGAAGCTACGCTGCGAGCGATGAGTGCACTATTCGCAGTGTGTACTGCGACTTTTAACGAAGGAGGAGATGAAGCTGAGGACCTCAGTGGACACTGTAATGTGATTCAGAGAAGGAGGCTAGCTTCGGAACTAGTGGTTCCGGTGGTTACTCAGTAGAGAACAAAAATGAGATCATGCAGCAAGCAAGCACAGCGAGAGAAAAATCATTTGAATGTGGTGTGGTGGAATAATCAATGATCACGCCATCGTCTAAGAACTAGCGGATGCAGACAAGACGCTGTTCGAACCCGAGTAACAGTTGCGGAAAAACGAAAACTGGAGCGAATGTGAAAACAACTATCGATATTTTACAAGAGATCATTTCACAAAAAAGTCAATCGGTATCTAACCGTGGAGTGAATGGCCAAGACTACGAAGGGATTCCATTTACTCGTTGGTCCAGTTTATCGGGTTGTTTAGCCGATCTACTGGTACTTTAAAACTGGTTTTGCATAAAGCAGTGAACATGAAGCGAGACGCTGTGTTAGTCAGCGCGTTACAAAACCGGAATATGTCGCCTTATAGACATGAGCTGGTAAGAATACAAAAATAAGATCAAACAAAGTCATTGATTATTTGGTAGAGGCGCTGTGAAGTCAGAATACATGAGAATGTGACGTGAACTCACTGTTGCCAAGATGTGCATAACAGACAGAGACTTCGGATGCACTGGAATACCCTCTGTGAAGGAGGCGCAAAAATACAGAGTGCGATGTTATTTGAGAGCGTACGTGTTCAATAAACATACGACATGGAACAACAGTTTTATTATATTATAATAATCCGGGGAGAAAAATAAATTAGACCTTCCATTGTACTATATGCAGTAGAACCACGCTTCGAAAAGTGCTTTAATGCAAGTTCATATTCAACAGTACTCAATATCAATTTGGGGAATTAATGGTGCTATGGGAGCGCTTACTGACCTGATTTTCATTAAAACAGTAAGTAACAATCCAGTAGACTAATATTTGAAGAAAATGAGTTCGAATGTCAGGAGTTAGATGACAAGTGAAAACTTGCAACTGTTTGTCGCTGCGCCAAGTCTGTTGTAATGACACGAAGTGTGGCTTAGGCACACAGACTTGTTATTTCGTCCACAATCGATGCAGGGTTTTATGACTGCTCTTTGATTCGCCAACAGAGTTGATACTAGAGCCTTGTGGTAAGAAGTATGGAGAGGTTGTATGTATAACTGTTAAAACACCATCTAGGCTTTTGCATAAGCATATGTCATATAACTACTACTCAACCGTTGATCATGAACAGTTTCGTTCGTCCCAGTGAAATCAACTCCCACATATTTCACGTGGAATTTCGAGTTTGTTCGAAAGCATTCGCATTTCAGTAAGCAATTTTCGACGAAAACTGTCCTCTCTCCCACATACAGGACATCGTCATGGCCAACTGAATGGTTCTTTGCATGTGACCTCACTGATTTTTTATATTTGTTGTCAACGAACTGTTGAACTTGCCGTAAAAACGGGTGCCGTTAATACAGGTAATTAAATTGTTTTTATACCTTGATACTGGTGAAGCGTTTGTCTCTTCCTCAAAATTATATGAAGTTGTGAATTGAGGATCTGGCGACTCTTAAAAATCGAGATGTTTCTAGATTGTCATGCACCGCTTTCGAAGTGGCAATTATTGCATGCTTTTGCATTTTTATGGTGAACTAAGTGCGCTGTTATAGCTGCGTCGCCTTTAAAAGTTCAAACAACATGCATAAGTAACAAGAAAAGGATGCTATCAAGCACTCCATACAAAATAAAGCCAGCTATAAAAAAGTGGAAAAATGCTAAAGTGAGTGTATAGGGTAGAATGAGACTATACTCAGATATCGAATCGATAGACACATAAGTGGACAAATAAAGACTATGGAGGAGGTAAACCCCCTCGTGCACAATGTGTGCATATGTGCACACATAAAACTCTATTTTCAATTTTGTGTACAAATGTGCACATACTCCCATTTGCATAATTGACAATCAACGATCAACTTCGTCTGTTTATTAGGTTAGAGAATCTAGCACATCACCATCAATGTACACTCATGCAGATCGGGCAGCAAGCTGGTCTTGCGAGCATTCTGGAATCCCTCGCCTTCAATGTTTGCTGTCTTTCCGAAACGCGCTTACAATATCACAGTACTGTGATTGAGCTGAGCTCTCCCACCGACCACTGAGCCATATTTCACCTATCTGGTGACGCAAAAGCAGCTGCGGAAAGCTTGGCTGGTGTTGGTGTAGCGCTAAGTAGCAAAGCTGAGGCAGCACTAATGGAGCGGTTCCCGTTTAATAGCCGATTGTGTGTAGTTCGGCTTCGGGAACCATGAAAGATAAACAGATGTCGTGAGGAGAGACGCAATTTGTTTGTGATCTCAGCTTACGCTCCAACTGACTGCAGTTCCGAACCAGTCAATGATGATTTCTACCGTGAACTTCATCAGCTCTTGAGCAGAGCCTGCAAATCCGACATCGTTGTCCTAGCTGGGGATCTCAACGCACGGGTTGGTCGTCTATTGTCAAGCGAAAGTCACCTCGGTAGTTACCATGCGCTCGATAAAAGCCGCTCAGATAGTGGAGAGAGACTTCTCCTACTGTGCGAAGATAATCATCTTTTTCTCTCGAGCACCGACTTTCGGCATTCGAGGAGAAGTTCCGCTACTTGGCGACCCCCTTCTGCGTCTCAATCATGATCTCAGATTGGTTATACCGTAATCAGTTGCAGATGGAGGGGTAGTGTAAAGCATTGCAGATTCATCTGGTCTACTTTTCTTGACACAAACCATGCTCTTGTCTGTGCGAACATATACACGAGTTTCGGAGGGTCCCCGAAAATGAAGCGCTGTAAGATAAACACAAATAAACTATCTATTGTTTCGGTTCAGCAGAGCTATCAAGCTTCCCTGGCTGGTGCACTAGGCTGCGACCAACCGCAAGATATTGATGAACACTGAACTTGCATGCAGAGGACCATGATCTCTTCCGGATAGCAAGTCTGTGGTCTTACTCAGCAATCTATGAAGGTTAGGTTCTCCACGCGCTCACTGGATCTATTTGACCGCCGCAGGAATATCCCACTGGAGTCTAATCATGATGAAGTGCGCCGTTCTGTCAGTCGACAGCTCAAACAAAACCTACACAGTGAATGTGAAATCTGGTGGTACCAGAGTGCTTCGGAACTGGAGGCCGCTGCCCTATCTGGCAATACTCGCAAGCTCCTCCAGCTCATTCGATCCACTGGCCAAGAAGCCTGGTGTCAGTGGGAATATATGCAAAGTGGATGGTTCGGCGATTGCCAACTTCCAAAGACGCTTGGACCGATGGACCGAACATTTTCATTCCCAGTTCAATTGGCCCCCACCGTCCACCTATACCTTCTGCGAACCCAGCTGCCCGCCTTGGGTCGTCACACTTGATCCACCCAGTGAAGCGGAATTTTGTTTTGCCATTCGACACCTAAGAAAATTCAAGGCTGTCTGCTCAGACGGACTTTCTCCGGAGCTCTTCCAATATGGAGGCTCAGTTATAATTAGCCAGCTAACCTCATTGATCTCCAAAATCTGACATGAAGAAAAGATGCCTTCTTCCTGGGGCGAATCAGTTATTGTCCCGGTTTGTAAGAAGGGTGCTCGCACTTCGTGTACCAATCACCACCGGTTGCCTCCAAGCTATTGGCATTCATTCTACTCCGTAGACTATCTCCCATTCACGAATCGCAGTACCGGGAAGAACAAGCTGGCTTCCGACCTGGCCGCAGGTGTGTGGATCAGATATTCACACACCGTCAAATCCTGGAACACCGTCACTTTTACCAAAGGCCTATGATCGTTGCATTCCTGGATACCCATGCCGCATTGGACTCGGTTGATCGACCTGCAATATTGCGTTGTTTGCTAAAGAATGGTGTCCCAAAAAAGCGCACTGCCATCCTACGCGCACCGTATTTCCACATCACTGGCAGAGTGTGGGTGTATGGCAGGCTTCCGGCGTCCTTCGCTGTCGATAGCGGTGTACGACAAGGTTGCCCTATGTCCCCGTTCCTCTTCAATTTTGCGATTGAAGACATCCTGTCGAGAGCTCTAGACGGTTGCCAAAATTTTGGTATACAGCTATTACCGGGCAAGCGAGCAATCGACTTAGACTACGCTGATGATATCGCCTTACTTGGTGAGGACTCACAGGCCATGCAAAGCATGGTAAACCGTTTGGCGGTTGAGGCATCTACGTACGGAATGTGCTTTGCCCCATCAAAGTGTAAAGGTCTGCTTCAGAATTGACACTCAACTGTTCCCGTGCTCAATATTGAAGGTACACAGCTTGAACAAGTGGAAAGTTTAGTCTACCTTGGCTGCTGTGTTTGCTAGTGGTACCACTAAAAGGGAAGTTTCTTTTCGCGTCGCCAAAACTCGTTCGGCGTTCGTCAACCTGAAGCACTTGTGGCGTCGTCGGGATATCTCCTACTTGGTAAAGGGTCGTGTTTACAATGTCACCGTTAGGGCGCTGTTGCTATATGGAAGCGAGTCATGGGCAGTTCGCGTAGACGGCATGCGCCGGCTGTTGGCCTTCGACAACGGGTGCTTAAGGAGGATTGCTCGTGTGTGGTGGCGACAACACATTTGCAACAGTGAAGTCGGACGTCGTGTCTTAGGGAACGCGAGTATTCCCTTCAGCAAGCTGGTGTTGCTGCTCCAGTTACGATGGCTTGGTCATGTCCTGTGTATGTCATCTGAGCGTTTACCCTATCGTGCTCTGTTTGCTCTTGCAGGACTCAAATGGAAGAGACCACTTGGTGGTTCACCATCCACCTGGCCTCAGCAAATGAAATGGTTGACTTCGCGTCTTGCCACCATTGGATTCACACGTCCGCCTGGTTGGGGACCAAAGGACGAGGGGCGTCAATGGCTGAAAACAATTCAGGATATGGCTCGTAATCGAAACCAGTGGGGGATCTGTTTAGATAACTGCTTAGATTTAGACAGTGAATACCTAAGGATTAAAAATGACAAAAAATTAAAAAATGGCGTGTGCAAAACAAGCAAAAAATGCTCTGTTGTTTTTCTATTGCGGCACAATAGCTGAAGTGTGTTGCTCATCTTCAGTTAATGTACCATGATGCTGATACGGTATTCAACCTGTCTTATTTTAGTGGTTTCCATGATTATGTTTGGCTCTATGTCCATCTGATAGACTAGTGACTATACTACTACTACTACGTCATTAACAACACAAACAATAATCTCTTAGGTTAAAGTTCTTGCATGGGTACGAAGGTGTTAAGCAACAACACAGAGGGGGCCGGACGGGAATTCATTTATGTCCCCTGTACCTCCCAATGGAGTCGGATCATCCTCTATATAACATAAGCTGTGCTAACAGAGAAGGCACAACACTGATGGGCAGACAACAAGCCTAAACTGAACGGACTGAACTATGCACTCAATCAGCAACATTTTCTAGCTCCAGGAATAACGATAAAGCACTAAGACGACTTGTATCTGCGTCCAGATGCACCTAAAAGTCAACACTCAACAAAAATGGGTATCCAGGTAGAGACAAGTGTTAATAGAAGGTACGCACTAGAGTGAGATAGAAAGAGCTGAATGGTGGAACTAGCGAAATGAAGTAGAGATTGCTGTAGCTCGTCTGCACACCGGCGAAGAGACCAACGGTGCAAGGACCAGGAGAGAGAAGTTTGCGGAGCAAGTGAGTCTCGTGCATCATCAAGAAACATTCGGAAGATATCCGGTGAAGTTAATTGAGTTCCATGCAGAACCGGACTGGTGATTGAGCGCAGAAACTGTTTCAGCATAAATCTGATGTAACGACGTTCAAAGTGTCGTCGGCGAATTTGCATTTTCTGCAAGACAAATAAAACAGTTAAAGCTGAAAAGCAACATCACTACTTCAACAAACAAGATGTGACGGCGAGAAAAGCAAGGGAAGCAAGCGAAGGGCGATAAATCGGCGTAGAAGATTGTAATATTAATAGCGAGCAGTGGGTAGATTGAATGCCCGCTTTTACAGAGACGGGATGCAAACGCGTCGTACTGTTTAGTGCGCGCGAACAAAGAAAAGCTCGAGGCTTGGGATGCACCGTATATATAGTATATTTGCACACCGGGACGAAAGCCTGGTTCAAGTTAAAAGTGGAGGAACATGAGACACCGTTTAGATACTTGAAAAATAAGAATGGAAAGTTAAGTGTCATGCGCGTGAACTAGGTGGTCGAGTACAGAATCTTTATAATAGCAGGCTGGTAGCCTTTAGGGTTACAAACCTGGCTTATAATCCGACGGCGCGGGTCCGAGCCTGTGAAGAGATTGGGCGACCCTCGCAGTATCCTTAGCCCAACTGCGACTCTTTGTGGTCGCATGCAAGCGAAGCGTCGGTACTGCGAACCGGCGCAATTGCTGATGCACTCCTGGTGTGTAGCCCCCTTGTGATTTGGCGCTACTCAATATGGTGAAGTGCGTGTCTGGGTGTGTGTGTGTGAGGGAGGGGTTCTAGTATTTGGGACCTAATCCTGTTATCCGCAGCTAACTACTGGCTGGTCACAGTGTTTGTTTTCTTTGCGACTAGACTTGCACCATGGCTATACTGCACAACGTTTTATTTCTGGAGGCCGACTGGTGCTTGCGTGCGACCTGTCTGACTGTTAGTTCATGATGACCCGCATCTTCCTGCGTTGACTTGATGCTAATTAAAGTAATCGAGGGCCCGTAGCCTTAAGGATCACAAGCGTGCCTTGTAACCCAAGGGTGCGGGTTCGAGCCTGCGTAGGGACCGGGCGACCCTCGCAGTATCCTTAGCCCACGTGTGATTGGTGGTGGTTGCGCGGTAGTGAATCGCCGATACTGCGTACCGGCGTACTGCTGATGTCTATTATAGTGGTATTGCAGTTGCGTTGATCAGCCAGAAAGGAAAGCACATGGTCACATTGAAGATAACAAAACGCACGAAAACTTCGGTGTATTGCGGATGCATTCTTCCAATAAATGAGAAGTTGTGGCTATGGGAGAAGGTCAATTAATTGAAGGAACCCCCCGGCTCATACATCTTCAAACCTGGCCACTCTCTGCGCCTGACATCACTACCTTTAAAGGGAATCCAGACCAGCAGAGCAGAAAGCGTAACTGCACTTCGAATCGGACAGTCAGATCGAACCTCTAAACTTATTCGTTGTGACTAACCTACAGCATCTGAGTACGGAACGGTTAGCTGGCAAGAGATTAACAGCACTTGGAATACGTGCGGTGGGAAATAAAAGCAACCCAGAAAAACTATTGTCTCAATGAGAGAAAGGACCGAAACATTTCTAACAGAAGCATCAAGTCGTATCAACAACATTCACGCCCGTCAAGCAACTTGTGACCTACCTCCACATTGCTCAGATTGGTTGACGCTAATATTTACCATAGCTGTGCTATCCTTTACAAGAAACGAAAGTTCTTGAGTTAACCAATAAATACCCGTTGATTTTCATAGCGTGAATGACAGTCCCGGTAGCCGATCGTACAATACACCTTTGTTTTAATTCGTTGGTTTCAGAGTCGGGCTGGGATTGGGGCTTGCGGTAGCGAGATAACTTCAACCCGAATCACAAAGTAAGAATGGGATCTAACAAATGGGGAGGCGAAAGTAGAATGATAGCAAACTTTCGTGCAGAACATTTCCAAATGCTGCTACGACAACAGCAAACACAGATGAAGACACAGATGCAGTCTTCAGAAACTGATTCATAGGGCTTGCAGGTAGGTTCTGTTGATCTCTCGAATTCCATTACCGAAGTTAACAATAACCCTGGTTCCGGATACACCTTTGACACGTGGTGGTTAAACGCGGAGAGCATATGTTCCGAATGGACTTCGACCGTCAATATGACTTCTGGTAAGTGTTATGCTTCTAATATCTGAATGGGCATAATTAGTTCAGTTCCCTGAAATCAATGTAGAACGGGCAGATACCGTCCGCCTTTCTCGTCGGCAGCACTAGTGAGGAATACGGAAGGTTCGCGCGCCTGATAATCCCTTCCGCTTCCATCGCAGCTACTTATTTCTATACCTCAGGCAGGATCTTTTGTGGCATTCTTCGGAATATTGGCCAACATGTCCCCTTGGGACTACCGGTATCCGGTATTCCATCCAGTGACTGAACCACTAATCGTCATTTGCGTCCGTTAACAAATGCGTGTCCCTCATTGCACGACTTGGGCAATCAGGCAGAACAGCCGCGGTACACATTCGGATGATTCTTCCTAAGTTAACGCTGATTGGCTCAATAAAAAAGGTTTGCAATTCCTATCCCAGATCGATTCTAGCACTAAGTCGCTTGAGAATACCGTTGCCGATTATCGTTTCCGTTGCACTCTCCATAGCGAACATTGAATGGCATGTACTTGTGTTTCCTATGCTGAATTGCAACCGTTGTACATCCGTTAGCTTTAGTGGTGGCCCCCGACTGTTGAGACTGACGATGGATCTAACAGAACACTGTCGAATCTTTTTGTAATGGACGGAACGCACCTGCACCTACCATCACATGGATTGGCACTCTCCATTTGCTAGGCCTAGACAGACAAAAACAATAAATTGTCTCGTCCGAACAGTATCTGGCAAGACAGCCTATGCTGCTGCACCGAAAACAGCGGCAGTCACTTCGGTTTCCGTAGTTGTTGTGTTGTGCATCTGTCCTCCACATTAACTTTTGTACCATCTGTGTTAACTGATCATTCCAGTTCCAGTGGATGGATTCTTCCCATGATCACCGGCTCCGAGAACCGCTGAGCCACGTTCACGAGCTCCTCTGACTTGGTCACTCAAACCATTAATGCTAGTTTTACTTTGTCCCAGAGTGGTTTGGGCAGGTAACGGATAAACTGTCCTTTAAGGAGTCGTTCTCTTCCGGTCAAGACTAACTCAGGTAGCCCGACAGCTGCATTGTTATTCAGCCTCAGAAAGCATATCATCAGTTCGTCCTGTTTCTCCCATTTTAACGTGTGAAATTTCTCTCGTGCCTTCCGTCGATTAATTTCTTTCCCGAACTTCACCTGTAATGCTACTTTCACCTCGCTGAACGAACACCCCGCTTTGGACTTCCGTGTAAGTAGGTACATCGCATTCGCACTACCAGCTAACAACGTGTCCAAACCCGTTAGTAAGTTGGCATCCCCCATGACTTGGGTGCAAGGCGCAATTGCCTCAAGCTCATCGAGCCAAGCCTTCGCGTCTCCGACCGCAAAATGAGCTGGTCAGAATAACTTCATCCGGATTGGTCAACACACCAATGTGGCGGGAACGAGACAGGGAAGATGCACAGTCTTTATTACCAAAGCAAAACGGATTCCCAGGCTAGCAAACACGCAGGCGCTTATACAGAACATTTTCAGCCTAGCACGCACCACATATTGTACTTACGTTCTGCGACACATCCATGCACCAATTCCAGCCAATCCGCGAGGTCCATTTTCGCCGGCTTGCTCTCGTATCTTCGCCTCCGCTCGTTGTATCCTGACCGAGCTGGATTCGTTCTAATGTCCTTGATTTGCCTAATCTGGGTTGCGTCGCACTCTTTGGAGTTGTTCCTGGAGAAGTGCCCAAAGGCTTATCTCACCAGAAAACCGGCCTCTCCACCACTACGTCTGCCGCTCTTCTCGGCCTGGGCATGAGATCGTTTGTAGCTTGCTCCGTAGGCATAGAGCTGCTTTGTGGACTTACTGCAAGGGTGCCTTGGTTAGATTTCCTCTTCCTTGATTTCCGAGGCTTGTTCGTTCCGCCTGATTGTTGTCTTCCTCACTACAACACACATGAATGCCCCAGAGAGATATCCCACGCATCCAGGACGTTGAGAAAAGCAGAAGGAAACTTCAGCCAGATCCGATAGGCATTGACCACGACCTTCGCAGTGACAATATTCCACAAAACGATATATGGCCGCTGCTTCAAACTTTAACCGATCACATCACCATCATCACACGTTAGCTGAGGGTAATTAATCAACAAGCAATCAACAACAGCAGTACATTAGCCATTTGAACTGATGCGTCGCCACCATACAACAATGACGACCTAAGGAATAAAGAATAATCAGAGAAAGAGGAGACTAACCTGAAAACCTTAATGCACTAGGCAAACATTCACGGTCAAGGCACCTACACCTTGTGTTAACAACACACCGTCACAAACAGCCAGCTATAGAGTAACGATAAGGCGGCATAAGCAAGACGGCTTCCTTGCGACATTCAATGCCCAGCGTCATAATCAGTCAGTAGTCCGCAGATACCTCAGCACCAAACACACTTTAAACAGGCAACCCGATTAGCAGACGGCAGCAGACGCGCCACTGGTGTCGGTTGCAAGCCATGTCCTGTAAAATCTTAAGCCAAGCACAAGGCGGGTCACGTAGACTCCAGCCCAGAAGGCGAGACGGACTAACGGCACGCAGTTTGATCCTCAGTGACTTCATTTCCCGTTGCCAAGTCAAATTTCGTCCACCTCAAGCCTTGCGCCACACTACATCTGGCAGACTAAACTAGACCCTCCTAGGTAAGCGGTGACCAGGCATACGTAGCACGTGCCCAAGCCAACGCAACCGATACAGTGCTAGCTGGTGTTCTAACGAGCTAGCATGATTAGCACTACCTAGTACTCGCCTACGCACATAATCGTTGCGGACAAGCCGGTGCCACCCAATACCAGAAATGCTCCGCAGACAATGACGATCAAAGACCAGAAGGTGCCTCAGATCTTCAGACAGAAAGGGCCAAGTCCCACTCCCATAGAGCAGAACGGCCGTCACTGTGGCCTTGTATACACGGCCTTTCAGACAGAGGTAAATTGCCTTCTGTCGACAGATGCCGCG